GTTAGAATGTATTGCTTAAATATTGCAATATATATAACTTTCTTTTCAATTTCATTTTTGTAGTCGACGACTTATGTCTGGCCGGCGACTATTGTCGCAAAGATGGTACCGAACATGCTTAACGTCCTTTGTCGTCTGCTCGAGTTGCAACTCTTTTATTGTTTTAAATAGGCTTATCTCGTTCCTGAATCAGGAGATTTTCGCCAGATTAAAGAGTGGGTACGGAATCATGAAATTCTCGCCAGATTAAAGAGCGGGTACGGAATCATGGAATTCTCGCCAGATTAAAGAGCAGGTACGGAATCATGAAATTCTCGCCAGATTAAAGAGCGGGTACGGAATCATGAAATTCTCGCCAGATTAAAGAGCGGGTACGGAATCATGAAATTCTCGCCAGAATAAAGAGCGGGTACGTGCAATCAAGAGAACGATATATCTTTTATCATTATTTAACAAAAGGGTGACAACTCTCGAGCATTTGTTGACGATCCACTGAGTCGTCGTTGTATATTAACCCGTCAGGATCCGTGATATGACCATTCATTTATTGACCAGTAATTATTGTCACCGGCTGAGAACTATTTGTAATCACAGGTTAACTGAGCACTTATTGTTGTCAGCGGTTGATTGGTCACTGGCTGTAGCTATTGTTACTGATTGATCGAGTACTAATTGTTATCATTGGCACCGGTTGATTCTAGAGCACTTACCGCTGACTTTGGTCTCGAGATTATGGTACCGATACTGTCGGGGGTGAGAAAAAGTTTACATCTATTCCTCGTTATTTACTCATGCTTTTCTTCTACTTTCCTTAACTTTGTTGCAGTCGTGTAGAACGTGTCCATATTCCACTGCTACATAACGAACGACACGTGTGTCCAAAAATAATTTTGTTTTCAAAGTTGAAATGTTAATAATTCCACAACGTGTATGTGATAACGTCGGAATGTTGACTCAAAAAGGGCCTTGATGCGACGTGTAGGTTTCAAAAAGAGGCATCTGTTATGAATGATAAATAACTTTGTTTTCTCCAAGAGTTGCACCGGGAGATGAAACGGGTTGACGTTAGAATCACTCCTAGATAGGTTTGCCAGATTTTTGAGAATATTTTAAACGGGACTAATTTGATTTAGATGGGTTTTTTATTAGTATTTTTGAAGAAAAGTATTTTTTTAAAAAGGCTGTTGAAGGCCAAATGCGGAATGCCTGGCAAACCTTTTCCTAGACATATAAACAAAATACTATATAATAAGTATATTTAAGGTAAAAAAAATGAACTCGTTTTATCTGAGCCATACTGCACTGCCCGACCTCGTGCATTATTGTTCAGAAACAAAACTCAATTGTATTTTCCCATGCAAGTGTAGTAGCCTATAAATACGGTATGCCTGGTACCAGGGCTGTCGTATGGGGCGGACAATCCATGCGACCGCCCAGCCGTCAAGCTGGAGGGGTGGGGAGATGCGCCATTTCGCTGTGTTTTCGATATATTGTAACAAGGAGAGGGGTCGTCCATCGCAAACTAGCGACAGCCTTGTCTGGTACTGTAAGATGGTATATGTACATCATAAGGTGGGAAAAGGTCTTATGTTGTCCATACTGAATGATGTACGGTGTTACTGTTTAGTGCAAAAGGTCTTACGTTGTCCATACTGTATGATATACGGTGTTACTGTTTAGTGCAAAAGGTCTTGCGTTGTACATACTGAATATTGTACGCTGTTTGTATATTCTGAATGACGTACGCTGTTATTGTTTAGAGCAAAAGTTCTTGCGTGGTATATGCTGAATGATATATGCTGTTTGCACATACTGAATGATATACTCTGCGCATGCTGAATGATGTACGCTGTAATTGTTTAGAGCAAAAGGTCTTAAGTGGTATATACTGAATGATATACGCTGTTTTGTTTACGTATACTGAATGATGTGCGCTGTTATTGTTTAGAGCAAAAGGTCTTACGTGCTTTATACTGAATTACGTACGCTACTTTTGCATACTAAATGATGTACGCTGTTTGCACATAATGATGTACGCTGTTGCTATTTCGAACAAAAGGTCTTGCGTGCTATATGCTGAATGAAATACGCTGTTTGTACATGCTGAATGATGTTCGCTGTTACTGTTTAGGTTCGTATTTACCGAGTAGATATTTGTCATTCAGCAGAATTAATTCATTCATGGACATTTATTAAAATTAGCAATTCATCGTTCATTAGGTTACCCATAGTCATTCTTTCGAAAAATTCGTGAATAAGATAGAAAGAATACAATGGAAATTTACTTCCCTGTAATGAATATTATTTGTTTTAAAATATTTTATTTATTATTAAGAAAGCCTTTGGTGTAGGGTTTTTTGTTTATGTTCCATGTTAAATATTGTATAAGCTATGCGCTGTTTGATGATATCAAGTCTTTCATGGAGATGTTATTAAGGAATATATATATATATATATATATATATATATATATATATATATATATATATATATATATATATATTAGCTTGTCCTCATTTAAATTTACATTAGCACCATGTCAGAGGCTAAACATCAAACTAAGATTAGTGTTGAATACGTATTTTCTTGCATCCATCTTCTTCTCATGAAATGATTCTTTGATTAATTAACATCATGGAAAAGTTTGATAAATTAATGAACTGGATGCAAGTTGATGTACTATGTATATAATGGGTTTCAGTGACGAAAACTTTAAATGTATATGAACAAAAAACATTCATCACTGTTTGCTCCAACTGATTAACTCACCCATCCTAACTCAACCCCACCATTTCGTGCCATTTTGGAATCCCTAATCCCTTCTAACTGTGTACTGTTATTTCACAATGTGCAAAGATATTATACATGATTTAAAATATGAAATATGCTTTCAGCTGCATTTTTCTCTTGACAAATGATGGCTAAAGATTAAAGTTAGTGCCTTTTCTAAAACAGCCATTGTGATAATAGTTCTTACTAAATGTTTTGCCTCATAGATTGGGGAGTGGGGATGGCATGCGAGAGAAGAGAGGCTATGTAAGTTGTATCTGATAAAATAATTGACAGTCCGACTATATTTCTTGTTGAATATGATCGACGTTACGTATATATTTGTTAAAGTATATATTAATTAAAGGGAAATAATGCGTTATCGTTTTCTGTTGTTTGTTTGATTCAGTTGGTTGATGATTACCTGTTGTTTTTTTAAATCTCTATTTTCGGTCCTACCCATTGTTGTTTCATGTAGTTATTTCTTTGGTGTGGTTTGGGAGAATTTTGAATGTATTGATTGATGGATGAATGAATGAACCACTTGATGATTGTAGTTTGAACATAATGTTTGATGTTGCTGCATTTCTCGTTGGCGGGCTTTTTTGTGGGTTTTATTGTTATTGTTTTTTTTGTTTGTTTCTGGTTTATTTAATCCATACTTATCCTCTTCATGACAAAGGTTAATTCCATCTTCCCAGACTTTTAGTAAGCTGTGGCCTAAAAAGTCGATTCAAAATGTTCGAATCCGATTATAATACTGTGCTCCAGGACAACATTTTAGTGATTCCGTTCGTGATTCCGGATACTTTCTATTTGCGTCAACCAGACTACATTTGGTACGTGCTACTTGCATTTTTTTTTCTGCTACAAGGGACATAAGAGCAACGCATCTGTCGGCGGTCTATGGGCAAGGACCAAGAGTAACATCCCTTACTAATCTATTATAGTTAACTATATATAGTTTCGCTCTGATAAGGTACTTGGTGACCCTTTACTCCAAAGAATGAATAATGATGATTTCCAGTCAAGGCATACTTAAATAATATATATATATATATATATATATATATATATATATATATATATATATATATATATATATATATATATATATATATATATATATATATATATATATATATATATATCTTCTACATCTCGCATACCTGGAATGGTTTGCTGGAGAAAAATAAAAAATGAAAGAAGCATGGAGTGGAATAAAATGAAAGTTACATTCATATTGAAGATTGAAACAGATAGTGGACAGAACATGAGAAGATGTTGGAAAATAGAAATTGTACCGTACGACTGACAATACAGTAATAGCACTATAGAGTGTTACGCACAATACTATCATACTTTTTATTACTAAAAATAATATATTCAGCAACATAATATACAATAAATATTTAGCAACAAATTGACTTAATAATAAGGCATCAACAGATACAATTTCAATGGTTTGCATGTGGAAACGAGGCATATTCAGAAATATTAACACATCATTTGTAAACAAAGCAGTCAAGAATATTAGCACAGCATGATTAAAAAAGGCATATTCAGGAATATTATCACAAAATGTGTTAACAAGGGATATTCCGGAGTGTTAACACAGCACCTACAGTGTACAAAATGTTTCTTAGTTCACGAAAGTGTTGCTTAGCAAACGTTTTATGCATTTCAAAGATTTATGTCAGCAAATTGTATACAGTAAGATCAAGTTATAACTCCACAAGTTATTTCTCATGTAAAAAAAACATAGCCTTTTGAAATTTACTCAAAAAATAGTATTTTCTTGTGAAAATCTAATAACATGGTTAGAAGATTCGATATTATGTGACAATGGGAACGGGGTATCAATCATACGGTAATAAAAGAGTTCCCGATGTTACAAAGTCTCCATTGTCACAAAACAGTATAACCTTAAATATAGAATTCGAATTTAGAACAATCGAAATTGGACACTATATATATATATATATATATATATATATATATATATATATATATATATATATATATAGTTTGTGTGCGTGTGCATGTTATTGAGGATAACACTGAAATTAAAATATATTTTTAACATTAGCCTGGTTGCTATGCCTTTATTTTATCCACACCCACCCACCACCCTTTGTCTTTAAAACTCTTTTTCTGTTTTGAATGCAAAGCTTTTTTCCTATCTTAATGTATAAAAATGATAGATTGAATATATTTTCAATACGATCTACAGCTCCGGTGGCCTAGTAGTTTTAGCATCCGCTTCGGAAGCGAGGGGGGGGGGTGCTGGTTCGAACCCAGACCGAGTTCTACCAAAGATTTAAAAAATGGTACTTGCAGCTGCCTCGCTTGACACTTAGCATTAAGTGGTTAGTGCTATAAATGGTCAACCTGGTGTCTGGATAATGTACCTATGTGGGGTGTCATGCTTCATGTCTGCGGCATGATGCCCCAGTGCTAGACGTAACTATAAAAACTGTCACACTGCAGACGTTGTGGCAATACGACTGAAATATTATTAAAGCTACGTTAAAAATACAAATCACACACACTTGGTACGGGAAACAATCATTTTTTTATATGTGAGCTGTACCTCGATGTATAATGTTTGAAGTCACGCCATCGTTTCTGATGACTGCCATATTGAATCTCGTATTGTAGTTATGATAATGAAACATAACGGTTATGTTTTCTTACAAGGTTCCAGTATCTTTACTGCATCGAAGCGACATGATGCAGCGCCCCTTTAATGCACATACATACACACCGTTGATCATGTTATCGGTGGCTCTGGAGGAGGATCTTTTGGGGAATAGAATACTTGTGCCAGAAGTTCAGCTTCCCTGCCAAGAGGCTCCACAATGAAAATTTAAAGGTGATAAAAACCTAAAAGCTTGTGCATCTTTTATCTCTGTGTAAACCCGAACGGTAATTATTACAAACAAAAAATAAATTAAAAAAATATCACAGACAAGAATGATCTAACTATTAACACTATAGTAAAAAAATCATAACATTTCATTAAATATTACTCGAAATAATGAAAATTACACATAATAATAATAATAATAATAATAATAATAATAATAATTATTATTATTATTATTATTATTATTATTATTATTATTATTATTATTATTATTATTATTATTATTATCATTATTTTAAATTACAAATATTTTCATGATCTGTGCTCAGGTATAAATATATACTAATTCTCACCCTTATAATATGATTGTTCTGCTGCAAATGTAAAAGATCGAGTTTATGATATCAGTATCATTATGGTGAAGATCATCTTTCTACACGAATTTCGCTGTCCATCAGCCCCACCCACAGGCGAACCTTTATGTAGCATCGGTCAGGCATCTATTGTTACATACAGTGCAGTTAATCCTTGGAGTGACTGCTCCGATTCGACATTAACTAGTATGGAACTATTTAGAGTTAAAAGTGCTGTCAAATTTATTTTTCTTTTACGGTTCCAACGCAGAACATGAATTTGCATGTAAGGACGAAGTAGATTTCAACAGAGCACGTCATTTATGCTTTCTAATAGATGTACAACTACTCCTATTTAAGGACTGTAAATTACCTCCCTTCCTGGCAAGGGATTGCTAGACCATGGTGAGTATTTAATTATCATATTTATTTGAATGCTCAGTTTTATGAGTTTAAACTGATTGTAAAGATATAATATTTAATGCGTTCCTTAAAATTGTGCATTTCTAAAACAGAACAATGTAATGCTTTCTTTTAATCGAACTATTTTTTTTTTAAAATTTCATATTTATTGCATCTTGCAAAATATAAAATTGAATAAAGAGTTCATGTTTTTACTATTCATCATTACCATAACACATTCCACGGTAAGGAAACTCGACAGAAAGGGAAGCAACCTCTATTTGCTTACAGTTTCGCGATTTCAACAACCATTTCTGGTGAAGAAATATATGTATTGTAAATGAGTGCGCCGACTGGCATTTGTGAAATGACGGTACTAATTCTACTTCCATAGTAAACCTATGGAATCACTTTCTTATTTAAAAAAAACTCAATAACTTTAAATTTATGAATGTTCATGACCAAACCGATATCGATCAGTAAAGACACATTTTTGATGCAATCTTGTTGTTGAGAAAGCCATATATCCATGGCATTTTACTGATATACATGTGTTTGAAACACGTGTTTTGAATTCTGGACAGGATCAGGTGCTAATATCAGTAATGCATTTTCCAAAGTTAAGTCTGTAAAACAACTAAAATTCCATCAGTAAAACAATATCTCTTTTTTTTCTCTGAAAATATTATCTTTACTAAAATTTTACTTTCATTATCAACCAATCCTGGCCAGTAAAGTTCATATACACTTTATTTAATCATCACCCATTATGGACTGGTTTCCGGTCGTCCACATAATTAGTACCGCAGGTCCTCAAGGCTACGAAGGTTGATGGAAGAAAACAATACGCTGAAAGATGTTCAGAGTGCCTAAAGGCATCTTCAACCTGAGGCAAATTTCGTTTGTTCGCGCCAAAAACCGGTATAGTAAACTTTCATTTAACATACAATATCTACTCATGCATTTGCATTACGGAAATCAAACTGGACGAAGTGATCACTGGCTCTGCATATTTAACTTTTTGAGCCAGAAACTCAAGTTCAAAAATTCAAAATGTATATGTTATTGACTTGATTTAATAGACTGTCAGGAACTTCTTAACGATACTGCCAATGTTGGCATGCTAAGTAGTACTCATGAGTATGCGTTCCCAAAGGTAATTTTGACTTTGAACTCAAAACCTAAGTTTCTTATTTAACTTGTTTCCAGAGTGTCAGATCTGGCCTGAGATCATAAAACTCAAACTTGTCGTCACTCACATGTCATTTAAAGTGGCTAAATTTGAAACTCGGTCTCAGACTTGGCGCTTCATGATCTCCAGGCCAGAGTCAGTCTAAAGTGAGTTTAAAATATATTTTGAAAAATACACAATCGCAATCTTTCACTTTAAAATAAATTTTTGAGAATAAACGAGTTTTATCATCTTAAGATGCAATACAAAAATGTGCATAAACTAAAATTGAATGGTTACTTATATCACTTATATTTATTAAGTACAAAATTACAAACAAGCATTAAAGAAAAAAGCTTAGTGCTTACGAACAAACAAACATTGAGAAATAATGTTCAATATAACTGTAACAAACTACAAGCATTACAATCATTTTTTAAGAATGATAACTTGCGGGAAGGAATAGTTCATTCGACCGTTCTCGTGGCCCTTCTCGGGATTTTGTTCTAAACGAGCAGTTAAATCTAGACCAAGTAATTGTTCAGTATGACATACTGGACTCACAGTAGCATTTCATGATGTTATATCGAGCCTCAAAGTAACAGTACAGTATGACATACCGAGTCACAGTAACAGTTCAGTATGACATACCCAGACTTACCGTGTGGTTTTACTTCTAGACTTGTAATAATCCGCATGCAGTATATTTATTAAAATAGTAACATGCTATTCTTTTCTTTAAAGAAAACTTTCACAGCACCGATTATATATATATATATATATATATATATATATATATATATATATATATATATATATATATATATATATATATATATATGGCATGTACAACATATCTTGACTGAACCGGCAAGGAATATAAGATAAGAAGTTGCAGCGACTGGCAGTCACTTTATTATACTTTATTCCTATTTTAGATTAGAGACGGGGCCAATTTTCACAAAGTTCCATATTTCATTTACATTTTATCAACACTACGCAAAAGCAAACACCAATCGTCTGTAATCTTAGAATAGAAACTACGTAACGTATAGCACTATTAAAAGACTTGAGCTTATGTTGGCATTCCTAAATATAACTTCGGTTCTTTGCTGGTATTCAGCGAAAAATTTTAATCCCATACATGTATTTGCGAATACCAATTGCGAACTATTCAAACTTCATTTTAGACCCATTAATATTCATACACTATTGCCATGTATGTCATTAGATTGAGTCTCACTTTTTTTTAAAAATTATAGCCCTTAAGAATAATAACATGCACGTAAGAATAATAAAGTTTCTTGAACCTGCAATATTTGAACAATTGTAACTGAAATACACGTCTCTGCGTTCATATAGCGTAATGTGGCATATGATGAACGTGCAGAGTTGTTCCCCTTTTCCAGCCTAATTGCCTGCAACTGATTCCAAAGGTATTACTAGATTTATGTAGACTTGTAGAGGATCAGTCACGAAAATTTTCACTCGCACTTTGGAAAATCGTTCATAAATGTTCTTGCCAGGTCTCAACGCGATGGTTACATGATTCCAGTGAAAGTGAAATTAATATTTTAAGTTCATTGATATTCGCATCCAATAACTATCACTGGTGCATATATTATCAGTTTATATTAATCTTAGATATTTCTCTACCATTCCATCGATCGATCAATAGATTGTGACAAAATTCAATGTAAATAGGCGATGAATGCAAACCGATATAAAATCTGTAACACTCAATACTTTTTCTAAGTAACATTAATAACAGTTAAAAGTATAAAAATGTAAATGTAAAATGTAAAGTAACGAAAATCACAATGCTTGCTATAGAAAACAAGCGAAACTATTACAAATTGAATTATCATATCACAGTTTTCATAGAATTATTTGTAAAATAATGACTGCCTAAAAAGATTGTGTCAAAGGAGACATTCAATCTTATTTACAGAGAAATATCATGATAACATAGATTTTGAGAAAACATATGACAAGATGGAATGTAAGAGGAAGTAAATAAAAGGTCTACATTAAAAAGCAGGCCCAATTACAGGGAGAGGCAGCGGGATGGCATATGGCATAGGCCTCAATCCTAAAGGGGCCTTGGTTTTTACCAGTCATTTTTAGATTTCTTGAAAACTCGCGTTATTTACTTAGTTGTCTGTTAATCTTTCTACAGTAAATTATATAAACTTGTTTTGGCATTCGATACATTTCCGAATTTCAAAATAACCAGGGCCTAGGGGACTCAACCATCGAAGTGGTCCTGGCCTCTCTCAACCTGTTAATGGGGTCTGTGATGAAATATCATATGTCGCTATATATGTCATTTGATAAATGTATCTACATGATGGTACATTCATTATACCAGTAACCACTAACTACTAATTTACATCTATTCAAAGTAGTATTGGTATAATACAGATAGTAATGATTATAAAATGAAGATAGCTATTTAAAAAAAAAAACTATTAGAAAATGCACACATCTGCTTATTTTCTTGAAATATAAAATT